TATTCTAACATCTAGGTGAAATAAAGGGGATTAGGTTTTCCCTGTTAGTTAGAATCATGACAAAACTGGACCAAGTAATGAGGTTAGGAAACAGGGCAAAGGTTGAAGGTGAGCATGTGTGGCACATCTTCCTTAGCTAGACAGTGAATATACTTTTGCAGGTTCATGGCCATTGTAACCACACCCCCTGCCCCTTCACTATCTGGTCCTTAAATGTGCTACTCCTGGAATTCTAGAAGGGCAAATCAGGACCTGGTCAAATGCTCAGAAGGCCTTCTTTTTCCTGGCTGGAATGATAATGACTGCTTAGCTTGATAGCTCTAATATACACTCCTATCTCCATCCCCATGATTAAAGAGTCTTGACTCCAACCTCCCTGTAGCTTTCAAGCTCTAACTGTGCTTTTAAACCCACTTCCTACCTAACAAATATCAGACGGATATTCCCAAATGCTAGTCAGACTGGGAATGGTCTGGGTTAAGTCCCTGGCCTAGTGTGCTCCTTCTGTCCCCATCCCAACTTCCCTGGGACCTGGTTGCCAGCTACCACTCCTGTTCCACCTACCTATCTACATCCTGCCAGTCACACTGTACCCTTGTCACACAGCACTTCAACAGTATAGGTGGCAGCACCTATCTGTGCTCTGCTTAAATTGCTCTTCCACCTGGTTTCCTCCTGCCCCTCCAAAGGATAGCCAACTCCATTAGCATCTCCAGGAGAGTCAAACATGCCTTCCCAGAATTCCCACATTCTTCTCCATTATAACTCACTTTTTCATTTAAAAATATTTTAATTAATTAATTATTTTTTGCTAGGCTACAACATAGTAGGTTTTTTGTTGTTGTTTGTTTTGTTGTTTATTTTTCTCCCCTTCAAGATGGTTTATCTGTGTAACAGTTCTGGCTGTTCTGGAATTCACTGTGTAGAATAGGCTGGCCTTGAACTCACAGAGATCTGAGTGCCTCTTTCTTCCAAATGCTGGATTTGAAGGCACGTACCACCATCACCCTGCCGACATAGTAGGTTTTTATTTTTACCTGCTTGCATATGTTCATCACTATATTTTTGTTTATCCTCCTCATCCTTTTTCCGAGGCAGGGTCCTACCACGTAGCCCAGGCTGGCCTCATACTCACTCCTTCCTGTCTCCTGAGAGCTGGCATTACAGACATGCATGAACAAAACTGGTCATAAGTTACTTTTCTTCCTCTGCAATAGATTGTGTTGTTTTGGTTTTTCTTGGGGGGGAGCAGAAATGTTAGATTATTCTGTGATTCTAACTTCTAGCCACACCTTGCACATAGACTGAAAATTGACACAAGAAAACAATGATAGCGAGTTGAGTGAATAAAAACCTAATTGGAAGTCCACCACCTGTCTGACGGTGCATTTATTACATACTTTTATGTTACTAAATGGATTTTGATTTTGTGACCTGAGTGTCACAGGGATGGAGGAAACGCTGGGGGAAACGCTGTCCTCCATGCATAACTACCACACTACATCATCAAAAGCAGTGTATTAGTGACCCTTCAGATTATGCTTGCTGACACTCCCTCATAGAGGGAGGGCTGGGAATTGTTACCCAGATCCTTCACTTGAGATGCCATGCATCTCACTTCCAGGGTATGCAATTCTGCTCCCAGTTGCATGTGGTTTCATGATCTTAGCAAGTCCTAGATTGTGTAGAATGTACAAGGTTAACTGGAGGGGGGATGCCATGTGTGCGGCTATGGGAAAGTTGTCATCCATGCCAGGGTGAGACTTTGCAGTGGTGTGGCTGTAAGTGACCCCACACCCATGTTCTGTAAGTAAACCCAATAAACTAATTGGTTCCCCAAGTTAGATTTGGATGCACTCACTCATCTTAATGGCCATCTCTGGTACCCTATCTAGGGTGAGTAGATGTGTGGTGGTTTGAAAGAAAATGGCCCCCAAAGGGAGTGGCACTGTTAGGAGGTGTGGCCTTGTTGGAGGAAGTGTGTCACTTGGGGGAGGGGGCTTTGTGGTCTCCTTTGCTCAAGTTTCCCTCTGTGTTTTAGTCAGTTGACTTCCTGTTGCCTGCAAGATGTAGCACTCTTAGCTCCAGTACCACATCTGCCTGCATGCTGCCATGCTCCCCATCGTGATTATAATGGACTGAACCTCTGAGCCATATAAATTAAATGTTTTCTTTATGAAAGTTGTCATGGGCATGGCGTCTCTTCACAGCAATAAAAACCATAAGACAAGATGCTTGTTATCATCTACCAGGGAAAATTTACAAATAGGTCAATACTGGAAAGATGGAGGTAGGTCTCTCAAGAGACTTCTTTTTCTCACTTTAACACCAGTCCCTTCCTGAAGTGGACACCACCTCTGAGGTATTCTATCCATGCCCTCTCCTTAAGCCAGTACCTCTCAAGTTTCCACTTCAGCCTATGTGATGGAGAGGGACTGCTCAAGGGACAGTAGGGCCAGAGGATCGATCGGTAAGGCAGAAGAGGGGTGTTCATGGATGAGTCAACTGATGAGTTGTTAAATACATGAAAAGCCTGGGCATCAAACATGCTGGGCTTTGGTGGGGATGAAGAAAGTCATTGGTGGCTTGTTTTCTCTCAAGGGAGCAGGTTAACTGAAGCTAGGGGAAGTGTGCCCTTCTTCCCCATCCCAGGGTGTGAGTCTAGGCTAGAAGGAGACTCACCTGGCCCATCCAAAGAACTTCCATAGCCTTACCCTCCTGATAAGCCTTACAGGCTCTGCTTGCATAGTCTTGGAATCAGGACAATGATCTAGACAAGTCTTCCATAGGCTTCTAGCATTCAAGACTTTCAAATCTTATCTTTTCCTTTAGCTTTGGAAGCCTAGTAGTCTAGCATACCTCTGTTGCCTGTATATTTTACTGTTTTTCTGAGACGCTTTGTCTAGGCTGGCCTCAAACACTATATGTAGCCAAAGATGATCTTGAACTTTTTTTTTTTTGGGGGGGGGGAGCTGTTTTGAGACATGGCTTCCAAGAAGCTATGGAGTCAGTCCTGAACCATGCTCCGTAGACCAGGCTGGCCTCAAACTCACAAAGATCTACCTGCCTCTGTCTCTGGGTGCTGGGATAAAAGATGTGCACTACCACCGCCCAGCGATCTTGAACTTTTGATACATACTCCTGCCTTCACCTCCAAAGTTATGGTATTTATAGGCAGGCATATGCCACCATGGCAAGCTTATGTGGTGCTGGAAGTTGAAAACTGTATACACATTAGGCAAATACTATATCAACTGAGTTACACCCCCAGCCCAGTTTTCATTCTTTCTGTGTCTCTTGCTCCATCTCTGAGAGGGGCCAACAAACACATCTAAATAAATCCCTTGGCTCTCCCTAGAGATTCTTTAAGAACAAGAAATTGAGCTGAACAAGATACACACCTGTAATCCCAGCACTTGGGAGGCTGGGGCAGGAGGATCAGTTTCTGGCCAGACTGTACTACATAGCAAGACCATCTCTAAAAATAAATAAGTCAGGGGGAGGGGGAGGGCAATGAATGACAGTCTGGATGACAGTACTTGGTGATCCAAAGCACAAGCAGAGACATTGGAAGGAGAAAAGAGGCCTCCCCAAGGAGCCCCTCCATCAGCTGCAGAAGCCAGCCTCATCACCAGTAGGGTTTATATTTCAAGGGTCTGCAAGCAAAGTGACTTACAAATGTATTCGCTTCCTTCTCCTTTTCCAGTGGTGCTGAGTTCCATGGGGGTGGCATTTGCTCTGAAGAGCCTGAGCTATATGCTGCTCAGCTCCCCATCCAACTTCCAGTACATGGCATACTCCCCCACCCCCACTGGCTTGGACTTGAGCAGAGAGGCATCTGAGGCCGTTATCTCTCAACACGCAGCTGTGCAGGGCTGGAGGCAGCAGCTTATCAGGGAGCCTGCAGTGATTCACAGCCCAGGCTTCTCTGCTGAATAGTAATTTCTAGCAGTGGATTTGTGCTGTCTCTCTCCTCCCCCTCTCCCAAGGGTGTGCTGTCCTTTTGCAGAGAGAGGGCAGTGAAGGGGAGCTCTTACTCATGGGGCTTTGTGCCTGCCTTCTGGGTAAGGATGTCTATCGGGAGGAGGGTGCAAGGTTAGAACCTTAGCATGGTCTGCCAGCCTTGGCAGGCTGCCTCCTTCAGCTCACCAACACTCTCCCTCCTTCCCATCCCAGAAAAGCAGCAATACTGCTTCCTTCCCCTTTGTAGGGATGCAATAGGGACACAGACACCCCCACCCCCCGCACCACGAGTCCCTCGTGCCACATTTTGAGGCTGCTCAGCCGCTGTGTCTGACCTTGAAGACTCCAAAGACTAATAAGGCTGAAGACAAGCATGCCAAAGTGTCTCTGCACAGGCGGGTGGGTAAAGAGAAAAAAAAAAAAAAAAAAAAAAAAACCAAAAACAAAAAACAAAGCCAATTCTGGGGACAGAGCCATTTTCATGTTTGTTTTATTGGAACCAAGACTCCAGCAGTAGGACTCAGGGGAGGAGGCATGGAAAGTTTTGTTCTGTGTCTCCTCTCCACCACCATGCAAAAGGGGGGGATGCTAAGAGGAAGAAAAGCTAAAAGGGGGAGTTGCCAGGTGGTGGGTGAGCAGAATAGGGTTCCAACATTTTCGACTTGGCCACCCTCAAGGAATCTACTTCACAGGCCCGCCCTCAATAAACATCGAGAATTATTTCACGACCCTCAACTGTCAGTTTTCATGCATACTTGGTGCTCTTAATGTCTGGGTCCCCCAAAAAGGCTACAGAGTCTATCCACCATGCTTCCCTAAAAAAAGATTCCAGTATGGTCTAGAAAAAGTGAGGGTGGAGTTCTGTGGCTTCTGGCAACATGTCCCACAAAGTTTCCTTGGACTTCTTATCACCCCTGGAGCTCCCTCTCTGGTCGCCTTGGGATCTGTGCCGTCAATCTTTCAGGAACATGGGCCCCTTAAAAGCCAGGTATGAAAGTGCATGTGGATGTAGGAGTGTAGAGAATATACGATCCAGTCGGTCTAGGTGGCTCAGAGCTGGGAGTTCTCAAGCGGTTGGGTCCTCATTCTCAGCCCCTGGCTCAGGCTGAGACCGCTTAGCGGTGCTTTCTCCAGCAGCAGAGTCCCCCAGACTTCTCTTGGACGTCGACACCGACACCGTAGGAGGGGACGAAGGACCAGGATTGAGGTTCGGAGGCTGGTAGCCAAGTTGTAGTGGATCCAATGCGTCCTTTGAAAGTAGGATAGCCAGACTCGGTACATTCTTAAGTACACTGAGACTGGCGGCGGGATCGTCAGGCGTCTGACTTGGGGTGGGCCCAGGCGGGAGGCTCTGCCACACCTCGCGCACACTCCGGTAGCGCAGCCGCGTGACCTGGTGTAAGCCCGCCAGGCGGCGCTTGAGGATCTCGGCGCACGTGACGGTTTTGGTGGTGGCCCGGCCGCAGCCGCTGAAGACGATGGCGCGCGTGGCTGGCTGCGCCATGCTGGCGGTGGCAAAGGCCAGCAGGTTGCGGATCTTGCTGCCCTCCTTGACCCGCATGTGTACAGCACCGGGCGCCAGATCTGCGAAAGGGCCAGAGCTCAGGCTGCCACCCTCATCACCGTCCCCCGCTGGCGCCTCCTCCGAGCGCACCTTACGGAAGTTCTCCATGCGCCGTCGTCGCTGGGATCGCAGGTTTTGCCATGGAGCCGCCTCAAACCCGGGACTGCATGGCCGCGGGTCGCGCTGGGCGACGGCTGGTAGGGGTTGGGATGCCGGCACTGAGTGGAAGCTGGGGGTGGGCTGTGGACACGCAGTCTCCAGTCCTGACTTCTACCGGGCGGTGCTGCTTTACTCTGCGCCCTCGGAGCCTTGTGCTCCGCGCCTTTAGCAGAAGCTCCTCCTGGGAGCCAGGGAAGCCCCGCCCCTTCGCCCAAGCCCCGCCCCAACTCTGCGTGACTTGTCCGAGTCCCAGCCCAGCCAGCCTTTGAGATGAAGCGCTGGTGCTCAGAGGCTGGGGTCGCAGCGCTAGGGGTGATTTGGGAGGTGAAGTTCCCCAAAGTAACCATCATTCCTCCCTGAACCAGCCCTCAAGTAGGACCAAGTTAAATAAAAATCCATGCTTGAGGTGCAAACGCCGACTCAAACCTGGTCCCTGAGCCTTGGGGGTTCCAGCTCAAGGGCATCCCTAGAACCCTCCTAGGTAAGAGATTTCCAAACCACCTCCCGGGGCTTCGCTCCTCCAACCCTCCAGAGATTCCCCTCCCTCTCCCTAGTATTCTTGCCTCAAGGACAGCCAGTGCATGGTCAGCAGGGTATGAGAGAAGTTGGCTGCAGCTTCACATTGCGCCTTCCTTGGATTCCGACCGCTACGTCGCAGCATGGTCCTTGTGTAACTGCTTAGAGAGACCTAGGTTTCAGCCTCGTTCTTCTAGAGCAGACTTCCAGGTTCCTGGTTCAACCTAAAGTGAATGGGGGAAGAAAACAAGAGATTGTTTCTTCCAAGGCGTTATGTTCTTATATTCATGCCTGAAGGTCCTTTATTAGAACTGCATGCATTCTTATCTGCCCAGCTCAGTCCCTGCTGACGCGGATCCCTCGCTTCCAAACCCAGGTGGAATCAACCTTGGCTCCTAGAAACCCAGAGGGCTGTTTTTGCTGAAAGGAGACTGAGAGAAGGTTTTGAGAGATGGGAAGCAGGGTGGAGCTGAAGCCTTCCTTGCGGGGGATTTTGGGATACTGGGTAACCTCTGGAAATTCCACAGAACCTAAGGAGAGGCTCAGGCTCTGCTGCGAAGTGAGATGAACAATAGAAAGATAAGGCTAGGGACGAAGGACTGGTGGGAGGAAGATGCTTTAATAAGGAGTGAATGACCCTCTCTAACACAGGCCTGGGACCATGTCCTTCAGTCTCCAACCTGGTGTCCACAGAATGCAGGAAGCCAAACAGACCTATTAAAGCGCGCGGGCAAGGAAGAAGCACCGAGGACTGTAGGGAGCAGGTGACCCTGAGAATATCAGTATCGTGAGCACGATGGTACCTGGATGGGCATAGCTTCAGTCTAGGTGTAGAGCTGCCCCGCCCTCCTCTTCCCCCTAGTTTTCCATGACAATTCTCAGCCCCTCGCAGCTCAGAACACCGGGCTCCTCGTCTCTTTTTGGAGGGTGTCTGTAGTACCTGGACCTTTTCCATCAAGCGTGAGTGACTGACTGTAATCTCTTGCTCGTACCCTAGGACTGTGCCTTGAACTAGATCTTTGGCCTGGTCTCAGTTCTTCCAGGCTTCACAGGGAGAAGCAGGTTCCGGAGGCACCGCCTTGGGAAGACACCAAGACTGCCAGTGCACGTGGGCCGGGAAATCAAGGCACGAACCTGAAACTGGGATTTGAATCAGAAACCACAAAAGAACTCTGTTTACAGGCTTGCTCTCGGTGGTTGTGCAGCCTACTTTCAAAGACAGCAGTTTCGCATTGGCCTGAGAAAAAGTTCCAGAAGGACTAGAAGCTGTGAAGGATTGGGCTGGTTGGAAAAGAAGCCAGCTCTGCGTCCCCGGGAGTCTGCAAGCCTGGGCTAAAACTTGGATGTGGAAAGGGACCTGGGGGCTGCGGGTTCGTTCCGTGAGGAGGAGGGGGTTATGCCTCCGCCCAAGCTGGCAAGCTGGTCCTTACATCGCCACCCACTCCCAGTACCATCACTACCCTCTGCCATAAACTCCCCCATTCACTTTATTCCGGAGTCTGTAGAGGGAGAACGCAGAAAAGGCCCGGTTCCCCGCCCTCGCGTCTCTTCCTTTCCCGCTCCCTCTGCAGCACTTAAAATGTAAATGCACATCATGATTAGCCGCGGGGTCGCTAATTACAGCTGAAGCCATTCATTACGCTGTCAGCTTGCTCCGTCGCCCGCCGGCTGTGCGCTCCCTCCCGGTTGGGGGCGGGGGGGTAGTAGACAGGGAGTGGTGGTGGTGGGGAGGTTGGTGGCGGTGGAAGGATGAGGGGACTGCTCCTTGCCGGGAAGCCGAAGGCCAGGAACCCGCAGAGGGGCGGTGAGCTGAGGAAATCGGTTGGACCATGAAGAAATCGTGGTGTTAAGAGAGAGGGGAGAAACGTGCGGGAGGATGGAAGGAAGCCAGGATAAAGGGGAAGGGGTAGAGTGAAAGAAGAAACCAGGATGGGAAGAAGGCCAAAGGAGAAAGGTGATGAATGGATAGGAACCTTCGGAAGGGGACAGATGACGAGGGAGGGCAGAGGAGGTTCAATTTGGGCAAAGTGGGTAAATAAAGGTATAATCTTTGCTGCACAGGACACCACAGTTACAAAGGCAGTCAGGACGATATGCTGAAAAAGCTGGGTGCCCGCCAAACCCTGCGGATACGTTTGCATATGTAAATGTATTTTTAAATACTTACAGGAAAACTACACACTGGCATCTGTTACCTCTGCAGCCACATCCAGATTTTGTTGCTCTCTTTAAGAAAAGGATTACAAAATACAAATAGGAAATTAAGTAAGCGTATAGTCTTGGAAGAGGATATAATTGAGGTACTGACCCAGCAAGCAGCCCAAGCTTCGTTAGCCTCTTTCTGCTTTTTGTGACCTCAGACAATTGACTTAACCCTCATGCCTTGGTTTGTCACCTGTGAAAGGAGGCTAATTATAGTGGCCTGCTTATGGTGCTCTTGAGTTCTAGGGACATATTGATTTTATTACTTTGCATAAGTTGTGATTAAAATAAAATTTAAAGATTGCAAGGGGAGGGGTAGGAATGTAATTTGGTTGGTAAGAGTGCTTGCCTAGCATGTGTAAGGCCCTAGGTTTGAATTCCCCAGCACCACAGAAACTAGGTGTGTTGGTTTGTGCTTGTAATTCAAGCACTAAGAAGGTGGAGGCAGGAGGATCAGAGGCCCAAGTCTTCCTTCTCAGTGTAGGGAATTCCAGCCATCATAGGCTACACAAGACCTCACATTAAAAACAAAGCAAAACATGAAAGGCAGATGAGGGGAAACAAAGCTAGTGGGGAAGAATAGAGGTAGGGAAAACCTTAGATAAAGCAGTTTATCTAATGTGGAGACCAAGCCCAGGAGCTCGAACCAGCCTAGGCTCTGCAAAGGACTTTGCCAGCAGCACATCCTCCTCTGCCTCCTGGAGCAGGGAGGAAATGAGGCCCTTGACTTAGTGAAGCAGAGCAGGCAGATCTCTGTGAGTTCAAGGCCAACCTGATGGGCATAGAGAGTTCCAGGTCAGCCAGGGCTACCCAGTGAGACCCTGTCTCCAGACAAAAGAAAAAATAAATACTCATTTTGAGAAAAGGTCTCACTTTGTAGTCCTTGCTGGCTTGAAACTCAAAAAAATCCTCTGAATACCCTCTGGATTGGTTGCTTCGATTACCATAATATGCCATCTGTACTTTCTAAAACTCTTTTTCTATTTTTAAACACACATGTGCAGGGGTTGGTACTCCTCCTACAACGTGAGTTCCAGGGGATCAAACTCAGATCATCAGGCTTGATGACAAGCACTTTACCCACTGAAACATTTCTTTGGCACCAACAATGTAATGACTCGAGCTACCCAGGTAGGAAAAATATGGGTTGAGAGCCAGGTGTGTTAGTTCATACCTGTAATTCTGACGAGAAGGCAGAAGGACCAGGAGTGTCGAGGCCAGTCTTGGCTACGTAGTTTGAAGTCTGGAATACACCAACCCTACCTCAAAACAAGCAAAAATGGGGGCTGGAGAGATGGATCAGTTAAGAGTACTTGCTGCTCTTCTAGAGTATTTGAGTTAAACTTCTAGCATCCATATCAAGGGGCTCATGCTACCTGTGGCTCTAGCTCCAGAGGATCTGAAGTCTGTGGCCTCCATGAACTCTTACATACATGTGCATACACAAAGACACATAATTAAAACTAAAATAACTTTTTGAGGCAGGGTCTTTCTATGTAACTCTGACTGTCCTGGAACTTGCTATATAGACCAAGCTGGCCTTAACTCAAAGGCCTCTGCCTCTGCTTTCCAAGGGCTGGGATTAAGGGCATGTGCCATCATACCCAGCTAATTTATTTATTTAAAAAGAAATAGGACTGGAGAGGTGGCTCAGGGCTTAAGAGTACTGGCTACTCTTCCAGAGAACCCAGGTTCATTACCCAGCACCCACATGGCAGCTCACAACTGTCTGTAACTCCAGTTCCAGGGGACCTGACACCTTCATGCAGACAGACATGCAGGCAGGCAAACCACCAGTACACATAAAATAAATAAACCTTAAAAAGGAAAAGAAATATGTGGGTTGGCTTTGTGGGGAGATAATGTTTACAGGGAGAGGAAATGGTAGTAGATAGCTGCTATTGCATAAAAAATGCCCCCAATAACAGCTTAAAACCATCATCATTTATCATGTCACACAATTCCTGAAGGTCAGAAATCCAAGTTCAGCTTGTAAAGATAGACCTCCCAACTCAGCACCTCACTTGAGGCTGCAGTCAGGCTGTTGACAAGGCTGGGGCATTAACTCCAAACTTATCTTATGTCCTGTATATTGGTTATAGGTCCCTATCTCCTCTACTAGCCCCTCATGATGTGTTAGAAATTAGATGAGTGGAGATGAGAGAGAGAGAAACTAACAGTTCAATTAGGAGACATTTTAGCCCACACTTAAGGAAAAATAACTCCCTAACTTCCTTCTTCAAGGGAAGGTATAAAGAGTTTATGGATATCCCACAATCCCAACAAATCTGGAATGTTTGAGAATCGGATTTGGTAGGGGAGGGAAGCACGAATTAATTCATGGAAGCAAAGGTATAGAAGAGTACTGCCCTGAATCAGGAGAGCTGAATTATTTCCTGTCATACAGAGATTATCTTCATGGACGGAAAGTGGTGTATTTTGCAGTGCTTTCCTGGGGGTTCAGTAGGACT